GTGCCAGGTACTAAGTTTATGGAAAACTCAGTCTCTCTCAGGTGGTAAGCTAGACATGTCCTTAGGAAAAACTTCAGGAAACTCACTCACTAAGGGAATCTCACTAAGCTCATGGTCTTTCTCAAGTTTCAAACAGGCGAGAATCATGTAAACCTTTTCATTTTCCTTTAAACAAGTTTTTATTTTATTAGCACTTAAAAACTCCCCACACTTACTCTCACCAAAAGATATGGATTTTTCAAAGCAATTTAGTAGGACATGATTAGAAGATAACCAGTCCATTCCAAGGATTATATCTAGTTGACTAAGAGGCAAATAGATAAGGTCAACCAGAAACTGTCTTTCAGAAATAACAATTGGACATTTAAGACAAATACTAGAAGTAGTTATGGGACCATCTGTAGGGGTTTCTACAACTAGATCATAGCTCAAATAAGACACTAGCAATTTCAATTTTTGGACACAGGCAAAAGAAATGAAAGAATGAGTTGCACCAGAGTCGAACAGTACAACAAAAGGATTCTCAGCTATGAAACAAATACCTTGTATTAAATTATCAGACTGAGCAACTTCAGCACCACTAAGAGCAAATACTCGTCCAGTAGTCTTTGGACGCTTAGATTGAGAACTAGCTCCTGTTCCCATCATGCGTTGCCTTGGCGGTTGTGGACACTGAGTACTAATATGACCTTTGCCATTACAATTGAAACATGTTATTTCCTTGTCAGGACAGTTATAGTGCTCATGCCCACGTAGCCCACATTTCTTGCATCGACTAGTAGGGGTAGAAACAGAGCCTCCTACACTAGCAGCACCACTTACGAAAGAATTTCCAGCAACAGATCTACTAGAGTAAGGCTTACTCTTACCTGGAGCACTAGAACTTGCAGCACGCATAGGACCTCCAACTACCTTGTAAAAAAATAGCACGTGCACGGTTGTCACGGTCATAGATTCTACTCTTGTTGACAAGCGTCGGGTAGTGATAAATCTCTTGATAATTGATTGATGTCTTTATCTCAGGACGAAGGCCATTCACGAACTTAATGCACTTAGCCCTTTCATCACCTTCACCATGGTAATGAGTACAATAACGAACCAAAGCATCAAATTTTGCAACATACTCTGCCACTGTATCATTCCCTTGCTTCAGCTCGAGAAATTCAACTTCCTTATGACTCCTCACATCATTTGGGAAATACTTCTCAAGGAAGACCCTCTTGAAGTTGTC